AAGAAAATAAACAACACAAAAAATTATAACAATGGCGGTAAAGAGATCTTCTAAGCTAACACAAACAGCAATGCTAAAGCAAATCCTCAAGAGATGCTCAAGCTTAGGCAAGAAACAATGTTATGACGAAGAAGGTCTCCCTCTTGACGTACCAAAGGGACATTTTCCGGTTTACGTAGGCGAAAAGCGTACGAGGTATATCGTACCAATCTCCTTCTTGTCTCATCCCGAATTTCTCATCCTTCTTCAACAAGCAGAGGAAGAGTTTGGTTTTCGCCACGACATGGGAGGACTCACTATCCCTTGTGAAGAAGTCGTTTTTCTCTCTTTAATATCTATGATCAGATGAGAAGGAGATCACTTTACATTATGATGAGGACTAAGATTCTTTCTCTTGTTTTTTTGCCTTTGGATAAAGATTTATTATCCAAATGGTTTTTTTTTTCCGGACTAAAAACCTGTAAAGATCCAACTAAAAGATCATTCTCTAAATGGATCATGTAAATCTCGGGTTTTTGGTTCGTTAACTAAAAGCCCTAAATGGGGTTTGTATTCGAAGGGAATGGGGATTTTATTTTATGGGCTGATAAGTGGTGGCTTGTGGTAATAGATGATTACTACAAGTTGAATATTGGTCTATTTTTTTCTAGGTATCTATGATCGTTCGAGTTCTTTGAAACTAAGAAATGTTTGATTTTTTTTTTATGAATCTTTATTGGGTTTTCCTCACGGATGTAACTTCGTTCTGAATTGTATGCGAGTGATGTATAAATAAAAATTTCTCCCACCTCTTTTTTCGTCTTCTATAATTGTATTTATTGTAAATGAGAACATATTCATCCACGAGAAACAGACAAATCAATCGATCCAACCCGTACACAAAAGATCATCATAAACGACTCATCAATATTCAATGCTTGCGAAAAAAGAGTACAAAAAATACATTTAACCTTATAAAACACCACTCTAAATTCGTTAAAAAAGAGGGTTTTAAATTTTTAATCCGAGTTTGAGTATTGACTTTAAAAGTATAGTACGTAGACAGATTTTGAGTGGATTACTTCTTTAGGTGAAGCAAAAGCATATTTGTCTCTACTACTAATTATAAGCTGGTCCTATATTGTATATAATATTAATATGCATTGGAATTACTCTTCTCTCTTTTTCTTTTCCTACGAGCCACAAAATGTATATGATAGCAACTACTCCTCTTAATGCAACTATATCTTTTGGTTCATATCAATTTTATGTTTGGAATAAACCGCATCCACAAGTGCCAATAATATCTACCCTGTTTCATCATTGATATATTAGCACTATTAGTGTGAATAAATGATCATCTTGATAAATTGGTTTTTGAAATAACAATTACAATAATACAACACAAAAATTTCCTTAGAATAATGTAACAAGAAGCTTATAAACCATTATTATACTTAACCTCAAAAGAAAAATCAGTCACGTAGTGAAATGTATATCCAAAGTATGAATGAAGAGTTGAAGAAAAATTTAGAAAAAAAACAAAACTGTATGGATCTCAAATCAATTGGATGAGTAAAATACAAAAAGAAGAATCTCTAAATATTATTGTCCCTTTCCGTACGAATTAACTCTTTGTAGGAAAATTCTTAGAAGCTGCATTTGTCATTTGTCAATTTCTACTCAATAGTATCAGTGAATCATATATATGGCCTTTGTTTTTAATAACTATTTCAGTTTCTTTTTTCTTGGTTTTAATAAAATTTCAAGTCTATTTTAATCAACGAGAACTAACAAACTAAATCATGAAAACTTCTCAAGTAAATCATTGAAATACGGTTTGGAGACAATCACTGATGATCCTTTCCTCTCTTGTATCAACTAATAAACAAAAAACTCTTACAAAAACATGAGATTCTCAACCTGATCAGAGAAAGACAATGCACCATAACCCCTACACTCCTATTTGATTCCTTCTAAGTAAACTCATTTTTATTTTTTTTTTGTAAAGGAGGAGTAATCCGGGCTTTTACCACCCGACTAATCCCTCACGATGAGTGTAGCCGTCGAGTAACCCGCTCATCAGGTTTTTTAATGGGCCGAAAGTGTGGCACCATTTCGACTGACCAAATGAGATTGGTTAGATAATTTCGCGTTTGAGGGGAATTGAACCCTAACTTAGACCTTAGACCCACAGAGCAATTCCTTCCTCGAGTGGAAACCACTAACCCATTACCACGGTGTTGCAGCGCGTGAAGAGCCAACCTTTAAGTAAACTCTTCTCACACTAGTTTCCTTCACATCATAACACATGCAGCTCGCACATTACCATACTTTGATGCAAGCAATAATAATCTCACCCGTGTTATCGTCAGTGGTAAGTAACCGATTCCAGACATAAAAGTCTTCTTGGACCATTCCTCCTTAGCAGCATCTTCTAAAACCCACAAAACAATTATCTATTTCCATGGAAGACAGCTAGTTTTCCCTCGTAGCTTATCAACTTTGAAGTTTTGCCAAACATGCAAGGTCCTTTGATAAGATCAAGTTTTTCGGATCTAACATCAAAACTCATAATCGCGTGATTATCTAGTTTTTTGCCAGTGTTGTTAAAGATAATAATTAAAGGTTTGTATTTATCTTCAGACTATATAAATTATACAATTCGCTAGATAACTAATTAACTATCACATAGTTTTTCTCTTGGCAT